TGTCCTTGGCTCTGTGTTCTTAGGGGCTGAGTAACTGGAAATCAGAGCTGAAAGTTGCAGCAAGTCTTTACTGTAGCAGCAGGTAAGTTAATGAAAATTAAAAGAAAGAGTCTGGGAGAGAGAAAAAATGTCCTGAGTGTCTCTGTTTATGGCTGTTAATGACAACTATCAACTACTAATTTGAACCATAATGAGCTAATGCTGTACTGCTTCAACTCAAACATCAAAGACTGGTTGTATCAACGTTGTCACCCAACTTCTCCCATCCCTCTGTCACACCACCTGCAAAGCTCAGCATCCCACAAACCCAAGTCTTACAAGAGTGTAGTTGCTGTTACTTCTGTCTGGTTGGGGTTCATATTTCAGAGCAAGAAACACATAAGTGAGAAACAAATATCTTCTGAAGCATTTAAATTTTGCTTATGACCTTTCACTGCTTATTTTTAGAAAGACAGATTCATTTCCATATGTACAAAGGCAGATTTTAGGTGACTTCCTAGGTCAAAATTGAGGCATGCATGAAGTTTTAGAGGCTTCCAGATAAATAAGAGCTGAGCCAAAGCTGTGAATTGCAGTATGTGAGTTAGATCCTTAGGTAGGACCCAGGCATGTCCATCCTTTGATGGCTGTGAAGCAGAGCTACCTGGTATTCATGAGGACAGGAACAAGGATGAGAGCAAGAGAAAAGCAGTGACTCTTGTGTCTTCTTTAGTTATTTTTATTTTTTATATATCCGTATAATTTCTGCTATCATACAAAAGGAAGATTTTTGACATTTCCACTGATGTCATCTGAGCAGGGGATAAATGTTGATTTGAAGGGAAACCAGGCAAAAATCTAGCCTCTAACTTTTTTTTTTTTTTGGTCCTATTTGGAAAAGAAACAAAACAGAAATTACTGGCGTCAAAAATAACTACATCCTCTTGGAACTGCAGCACAGCATACTGAGTTAAATTCCCCCAGGTATAATACATTAAAGTGCGTACTGATTTGCTTATCAAAACAAAGAATGAGTATGCACACTTCAGGGGAGGGGTACCGAGTGGTGAAGGTGTCTTGCTATGGAGTGGAAACTCCGTGTTTGAGTCTTGCAGCAGACTCATGCCAAAGGCCACTATCTTCTTCTTTCCAGCTGTTTCTGGTCCTGCAGGCTTGGAAAGTTCAAACAAGCCAAGCTCCTTGTTAGTCACATAGATCCCCTGACTCCTCTTGATGCACGTTAATATTTCTAGCTTGCATGGTGCATAGGCTTGGGATGAACCTTTGTTATGGAGGCTATGGTAACATGAATAAAAAGTCTTTGAGTTGCCTCCCTCCTTTCCATACAGTAAAGTCTGTTCTACTTGCATTTAGCACACATTGATCTCAAGACCCGTCTCTTACTTGACACAGAATTGCTCTATAGTCACATATCTCCAATTTTTTAGTTCATTTCCTCTGTTTCTGCTCCTGCCCTGGCCCTGGCAAAGCACAGGTCAGGCACAGTGCTCTGAGCAGCCATTAAGGAAGAAATCCCTGGAAGTTTAAAGCAACGTCAGGAATAAGAAGCAGATACAGTGCTCACAGCTTGCCCCCCTTTTTTTCTCCCTAATCTCTGCTGGATTTCTGTATGTGCAGTGCTTGCAACATAGGCCATTCAATTCACTGTAATGGGTAGGGTAAGGCTGCTCGATCATACCCTTTTCTGTGTAATTAAATTTTACAGGATGAAATATAATGATGCATATAGTGATTCCTTATGCAGAGGCCTGGACCATTGGTGCTTACCAGTCTGATAGTTCATTCTGAGCACAGATAATCCAAGGAGTTGCTGCTCTAACAATCCCCACTTTCTATTTCACCACTGACCCAGTTTGGTAATTACAACACTGCCGAGTCTCTCTTGGGTTTGGCAATGGATGTCATATGCTTGAGTGATGAGTAGCCCCAGCTGTTGTGTTTCACTTTATTTATTTAACGTGAACTCATGTGAATTCAATAACATCTAATCTACCGAGCACTGAATGAATCATGCAGAACAGTTTGTAAAAATCCTGGATATAGCTTCAGAGTACGCAAGCTATTTTCCTGGAAGAAGTTGCGTAGAATTTCATTAGCTGCATGAATCTGGTAGGAAGCTCTTCATGTATGATATATTGTTTCTCTGGGATTTTTAATGTGTTGTGAAAGTCTGCTGATGCAATGCTCGTCCTTTAATTTGACATTATAAAAAAAAAATAAAAGAAGCAAGTTATTTTTATTCTGAATGGGTTTATTTGGAAAATATCACCAACAAAGCCAGATGATTTGATGTTGCTAAACACTGTTGTTGGTATGCTCTGACATCAGAGCCTATATATTCGGCCTTTGCAGGACAAGTTACAGATGCCCTGAGAGGATCCTTTAGAGGAGAGAGGTGGCTAATGGAAAAATATCTCATCCTCCACAACATGAGTTTGCCTTAATAGAGACCATAGAGAACTCAGAGTGAGAAAGAATAACAGGATTATTCAAAGAATTCCATGTCTCAGGACAGGACGTGATGTATTAGACGGTGGTCCATTTCCTACACTGTGCTGTAGATATTCAGCAGTGACCACCCACAGTAAAAGCTATTATATTTGTTTATCTTTCCTGATGATTCAGGGTTCAAGGCTTTTGTTCATTTATCTTCTATTATATCTTTTTTTTTTTTTTTAATTTAAAGTCATACCTCTTAGAGATACCCCTTCTTCTTTAAAAGAAGGGGAAAAGGACAAGAAGTCTTAAATGTTTGTCTGTCAAGTCCTTGCTCAGAAAGACTTCCTAGATTCTGTACTTCCTAACAGTCAGACCAAATAGCCAAGACTGTTTTTTTTTTTTCATCAAAGCTGTAGAGAACCAGAAGCTCCCTTTCAAATGGGAGCACTGGCACAATTATCTTTCCCCTCTGCTTCCTTCTTGGGACCTGTGACAAAACCAAGCTGCCTGATGTCAAAGCAGGATTTGAAGAACCAGTGTAGGGTGACAATGTTTTGGTTGGGTCATGATGTGGGTCATCTTTTCCAGATTGTTTCAGACATTTGAACTAGTGAAACTGAGGCTGAAATGGGAGTCAGGACAGAGTTATTTCTGAGAAGCACTGTGCTGGAAACCACTTTTGCAACTGACACACCATATATTGCTCTAGAGAAGCAGCTGAATGGTGGCTCTTGGTTTCGGAAGCTGCCAGGTACTCTCATTTTTGAAGACAAGTTTGAGGAACTAATTTTTCTGTACATAACATTGAGGTTATTGGCCAGTTTACCCCTTGGCTTCATAGCACATGGATAGATGCTTCAGATGGGTAGATGGTGTAAATTTTGCCATTAAAAAAAAAAATCATTTTTAGAAGCAGGCAGAGATTGAATCAATTCCTGCCTAAGTAACAAGGGGTGTTTTCCCAATGAAAATATTTTTTAAATAGCCAAGGAACATAGACAGAACAGTAAGGAACAAAGCTTGTCTGCAAGGTACCAGACTGGAAAGCTGTCACATTAGTGCTAGCTACTATCTCAGCTTTCAAACAGCTTCTATCATAAATGTTTAATTTAGTTTTTTCTTCGATTACATTCTTGCATGGATAGACAAGGAAAAAATGTCAGACTTGCAACGTATTTTGACATGCTAATTTCCATGGGATCAAAATCTTGCAGGAGGCCTCTCTGGAGCAAGTGTCTTCATCAACTAACTGAACTGATGAGCTTTTAAAGAATTTATGATTTCATAAAGCTATTTTTCTAAGGCTGACTTTTGATATTTTATTGGGATCTCTAATGTATTGTTTTTGTTCCAAATACCCTTAGGTTCAAAGGCAGATACATCTAAAATTTTTAAATGATATTTCAGAATACCTTATAATATTATGCCCTTATCTTTTTAGTGATATTGCGTCCTTGTCATGTTGATGAGAAAACAAAAAAGACAGAGAAAGCAACTGATTCCTCAAATGGGAATGGGAAGTCAATAACAGGATAAGATACAGAACAGCAGCCATGCTTTAAGTTAAATTTCTCTGTCCATACCAGGCTTCTCCAGAAAATGTAGAGGCTCTTGTGGATTTTAAATATGCAATACTTCTTCCATTCTCTGCATTGAAAGATATGGGATATATATGTATATAATGATTTGTATTTTCCAAACACCTATCTGTAATTTGCACTGCTTATCCAGGTTTTGATCGGTCACAGAGGGAGTTGATAACTATGTAGCACTGAAAGCAACCTGCTCTGTAGCAGTGAATGGCTCATCCCCTATGATGTCTTTCGGTCCAGTCAACTACAAAGACAGACTGAGAATGAACACCTGGATGAGCATGAATTTACATCTTGCCTCTACCTATGCTTTTGCTGTGGAGCACATAAAGCTCCTCCTACACTCTGGTTCCTTAAAATTAACCAGTCTGTCTCACCTTTTCCACTATCTGTCTATTTAGTATAGAAAGAGTGAATGCCTCTCATTTCTATTCAGGTGGTCTCTAACCATCCCCACTTCACTGTGCAAAAACAATATTACCCTTGTTTCAATAATACATATACATGTATATGTATATGTAAATATATGTATATGTGTCATTCTGGGTGGTAGGAGGCCTTGAGCACCAATAGAAATTATGATAGTCAGAAATTGAAGGACTACAAAAATATATTTAATCCTTCATCTGAATTCATGTGACCTTTAATTGGCAAGTCTGATGACCTCTCTAATCCATCTTTAACCCCAAATGAACAAGGAGATTGCATGGTTTGCTTTGTTTCATTCTCTATGAATTTTTGGATATAACAGAATGAAATATGAATGAAATGCAAGAATTCAGACCTTACAGATTTCAACCATTGTTGTCCCTGTTGTTCTAAGGATGTCTTCCACGTGTTATAATTCTTCTGCCAGTTCACTTTCAATTTCTACTGTGAGTAACACAACTCATCTTCAAAGTACCCAGTGACAAGGACAGTTCATGAGGCAGACTGGGCTCAGAGAAGACAACTCTGCTACGTAAGCCTAATTCAATGTACAAAGAACCAGAAATGTTTTATTTGAAGGAGAAGGGGGTGGATATACATCTTATAAGATGTTAAACAAAATGCAGAATATATAACTTATGATTCTTCTTTGAAGAATTCTGTTCACCTCAAATTTTGGACCTAGACAGAAAGATGTGGTGTGATTTAACATTCTCTCGTCACTGAATTCCACGCATAAAGAGAGAAGTATAGAGAGAAGAGAGAAGAAATTTTTCACTTGTTACACCAGAGGCCTCATTATTTATGTTTCAGTGAATAAAACAATGATCACTACAGAAACCACTGCAGGAAAATAAATAAATAAATAAAGACTCACCTTACATCTGAAGTTTCATGTGGTTTGAGCCAATTCATTTTGCTTCGTGGGTGGAACACACTAAAGGTACATATGGCCAGCTACGATTGTGCAGCTAATGAATGATAATCTTTAATCAATAAACTGATATATCATATGTTTTCATGCATACTTTTTTTTTTGTTTTGTTTTTTGTTTCACAATCCAGTGACAAAGCCAGGGTCCAGTCAGAAAAGGCTGGGTATGCTAAGAAAAGAGATTGTACTTGATGTCTCTGCTCAGTGTTTTTTCTTGGGCAAGGTTGAGGTTCATATGTAAGCTCACAGTTTCCATGCATTGTGAACAATGCTATCCTCAGGTCTCTAATATCAATAACTTTTCCTAGCAATACATTCCAGTTGTACATCATGCAACAGATCAGACTTTGGATCTAGTCTGACTGCAAGTTATAGCCAAATTAGAGAGGAAACAAAGTTCTTCCAAATGGTCTAGTTCAATCAAATGTTATGGATTTGTTGTAGTCATTTCAGTGTGAAGTTTTGTGGTGCGTATTATCCAAGAGGTCATAGATGGTAATGGTCCTTTCTGACCTTAAAAGTCCGTGAATCCCTCCTCTACTCAGGCATTCAGTTCTTATGGGAATGTCTCTTACTGTATGTAGCAGTCAAAAATTGAATGGAATAGAATTCCTTGAAATGTAAATATATAGATATATTTATATTATATATTTAAGTACATATTAATGTATGATTTGTGATCAAAAATCACACTCCAGATAAAATAAAACAAAGTGTAGACATTGATAATTCTTTTCAATAAATTGCTTATAAACTTAGTAAGCTGTCTGCCTTTTTATACTTTTCAGTCTGTTCTCATTACAGACATGGCAGAAGGCTTTGTAGTATATTTGGAATTTGCTGAGTGAGAAAATGAAGATTTATACAAAGCTAAATTGAACAAATGGTGAATAATTGATTTAACTGACCTGACAGCTCACACTGTGCTTGTAAATAATACATAACTTTTTACTGTACTGATAATTTAGTATTCTGTGCTCCTAGACTCCTTTCAGTAAGTTACCACAAGGAGCAAATGATCTTTGACCATTCTAAAAAGACAAAAATATGCTTACCAAGCATATTCTGGTTCCCTGATTGTGATTGCAATAGTCCAATATTGTGCTGATAAAGCATCTTCTTAAAGGTTCTACACCCTTCTGTCTTTTCTTTCTATAATATTGTTGGACAGATAACTATTTCTTACTTTTCTGCTAGCCACCAGCTCCTGGAGTCAAAGCTTTGAGGGCTTAATATTGTTCATTGATTCCCCCCCAAAAAATTATCCACAAGGCCAGTGGGAAGCACATACTTTTCCAAAGCCGGACTATAGTGCTAGCTTCTGGAGAGAAGACTAGTACATATTACATTTTTGATGACTCCTATTTAACAGCACTGTCTGCGGTAAGTTGCTACTAGTACATTGTGGATGAGAGCTAAAGCACACACATAGCTAGGAAATGTGAAATCATGATACCCGGTGCAATTTAAACTGAAACTGTTGCACTTCTTTCATTTTAATGCTGTATCATTTTAATGTCTTAAGGTTTGTGTGCAGTGCAGCTGAATTATGATAGCTGCAGAAAATTTCTGGGCTTGACTCCAACTGCTTTCTTTGAAAGCAGAAGACACCTATCCTACCCATCAGACAGCATGTCTGGAAGGCTCTACCTATTGTAAATAACATTCATTCTGCCCTCTGACTTCTAAAATTTATCCAATCCTAGTGTATGAAATCCCCAAAGTAGACTGTACATTTAGCATATGTCTAGGTAAGTAGGCTGGCACTGGGTGCAGAACAGGAGGGTGATTTTAAGAGCTGGGACCCATGAAGAGGAAGACATTTCCAGGTTGCAGCTCAGTGCTACAGCCTCTCTCCTACTTGTACCCAGGCAGATCAGGATGTGACAGATAAGTTATGGACATGAAGAGAGGATGTAAAATAATGTCATATAACTGGGTGAACTTAAGTCTGAACAGTTGGTGGAAAGGGTTCATTGCACAAGTCTCACCTTCAGAGCTCAAGACTCGTCCAATCCTTATAGTTTAAGGTGCCTCAGTCAATTTGTGTGTGTATTTGTAAGTGTGTTTCCAGCCTGTCAATTTTTTCTTTTCCACTCCAGTCTGGATGATGCTTTCTTTTAAGCACCCACACATGAAAGCTCCTGAAAGAGGAGAAGAAAATTAGGGACTGCAGAGTTAGTCAATATCTTTGTTCAGTGACACCAATTTGATGGTGATAGAAGATGGAGCAGCTGAAATTAAAATGAACAGATTTATGATAAGCAATATCACTTGAATAGCTTTGATGAAATGGGGCTGAAGCCCAGAAGACCAGGCTTACAAAACAATTATTTTTTGTATTTGTTGGGTGAAGAAAAGAAGAAAGGCAGAGAGAAACTTGCAGAAGGGAGAGCTGTAGGGGTCTCTGCCCCTGTGGGCACCTGTAGACACCAGCTACAGAGCTCTGCATACTCTCTGTCGAGCCAGACCTTTCCCTCTGGCAACAGGTTCTCAAGGGAAAGTCCATCAGAAACCACTATCTCTTTTGCCTTTTATTTTATCATAGGCTGGGTCAAGTAGATTGGGCAAGACATGACAGGGACAGCTGACTTTGCAATGATGAATTTTTCATGCTGATTTCTCAGCAACGATTAGCAAAATATTCTGGGTTTGTTGCAACAACCTTTTATTTTATGTACATACCTGACATTCTCCAGTATGTCCCATTGTATAAAGATTCCTATTCTTCTTACAATAAAATAACATTATCTTGCTGTCCCATATCCTTCCTTGTGTCTGATTTCCTGCCTGATTTTTAGGCTGTCTGTGAAGGCAGTTCTTAAAATTGTAGGGTCCTTCTCACACAATATCATGAACACCAGTAGCTGCTGGTAGGCTCCAATGTGAGTTTCATGGATCTAATCCGGAGTTAGATCTGTGGAGGTAAATATCCAGGCTTGTTTCTCTGGGGTTAGGTTTTGCTTTTATCTGGTAGGTGTTTATGTTTCCTGATGCCCTGTTTGCAGGCAGGAGAGTGAACAAAGTCCAGATCCTCTGGACTCTGACCCCAGAGGAATGGCCGCTTCCCCTTTATACAGGGAGTATGCTGCAGCCCAATATTTGCTTCCTTCCCCAACACCAGGGATGGTGTGCACTATTTTGACAAAACAGATGTTTTGCCTAAAAGCTTTTGAACCTTACAAATGAATCCCAAATGCATCATCTACCTCAACTAACAAAAGGAGCTAAAACATGAAAAGAGAACTGAAGGGGGGAATGCAGCATTTTGATACTGTTGAGAGAACAAGAAGTGAAAAAAGGGCCAAAACTATTTTAAGAACACAGAGGAGAGAACATGCAGAGGTTTTCTGGTCAGCTTGGAAAAAGAAAACAAAGATTGAGGGGAGCTGAAAAAATCTTTTTAAAAAGTTGTCTAGTGGAAGACCAACACATCCACCACCTTTTATTTTGCAAACAGAGAAACTGAGGCAAAGCTTAGACAACAAAATTCTTGTAGTAAATGAACACTCCAGCACATATACAATGGTGGCACCACAGCTCACACCGACGGTTTATTTCCAGAGTCAAAAATTATATTTTCTCCCCATGTTGTAGATGGAGAGATGCTTGACATGTAGAGCCAGACCAAATCCCCCTTCAGTTACTTCTGTCCTTCATATTTCCCAGACACCTTTATCTCTTATTTCAGTCTGGTTGTGATGAAATAAGGTACCTGGTCCAGGCTGGGACACAGTCCCTCTGTTTTCCATCTTGAAGGATGTTTGGGGCAAGCTGATGATCTGAATGAGTTTGTCTCCTCCAGGACAAGTATACAGCTCCCAAATAGTCACATCACTCCCTTGGAGGCTATTAGTCTTCTCTTTCAAGGCTCTGAAAGATATTTCATCCAGTGTCTTCCTCTGGTGTCAATTCATGGGTAGGGACACATTCCTTTCCATCTCTGCTCAGAGGGGAAGCCTCCTTGTCCCATTATTGCTCTGGGGCTTCCTCTGCTTTGAGGTCTGATCTTTGTGTTGGGAAGGGCAATGGTGAAGTACTCTCCTTCTCATGGTGGAAGGCACCCTTAATTTGGGGACCAATCTGCATCAATAAATCTAAAATATTTTCTTCCTCACAAGGCCTCCTTTGTAAGGCTTTCAAAATATAGGGCCAGCTTACCAAACAGAGAAATCTTATGTTGTAGTGAAACTCACTTTCTCAAGAACAAATATCCACTAAATAAAAATATATTTCTAATAAACTTTTGCCCTGTTTCTCTGATTTTTCTCATACTGTGTGACAACTTCTGCGAGCGAGCAATATGCACTATGCAGGTGAGTACAAGTGTACAGTTTAAGCTCATATTTATATAATTTTCTGTGTGTATATAGAGCCTCCCATAAAACACAGTCACCAACTACAAGTTCATGATCTTGCCAAGTAGTACCTTCTCCATCTCATGGTTCATAGCCTTCCATAAACTCAGTAACAAGCCTCTCTTTCATATTCTTCCTTGCAGGTCTGGCTTTCTCAGCAGCAATGTTTCTTCCAGTAATATTCAGGTCATGTCAGACCTGTTCCCAAGGGCTCCAGCTGGAGTAGGAACAATTTGAACTCTGCCACCGTGGGATGAGCAGGCTCTGTAAGAGGGATGTTGGTAGAAGCGAACACATAAGCACAGATTTTATCCACAGTGGGCAAGAAATGGGGTGAAGAAAACCATAAAGAGCAAAGGAATTGGCTGGCAGGCAAGCAGTACCATAAAACACTTGGGGAAGGTGGAAATTGTGGTCCAGGTAAAAGCATTGTCATGGGAGGGAATCTTGTGAGGGCATAGGGTGGTGGGATTCATAAAACATATCTTAGAAGAACAACTACTATTAAGCTGATGTATTTGAGCCTTCTTCTTTAGGTTGAGATGAAGAAACACTGTCAGGGCATATTTCTCTTCATTGACTGTATATGGTGTGACCAGCTCTGCTGTATGCATTTTGTCTATAAATATCTAAAGTTAAGGAAGGTGATCCAGACAGATTATCTGACTGGGTTTTCAGACATTTCTGCTTAATTACAGGACTCTTCATGATTGGGATTTTTTTCTGTCTTGACAGAGTGAGATTACTTCTCAGAACTCCATTTGTCACTTGAGAAGAGATGGTTTATTTATTAATAATATTAATTTAATATTTATAATAACATTCTGTATGTGTCTGGCAATTTGGCAACATACAAAAGGCAGTCCCTATTCTTAAGTGTTTACACTGTATTTTCAGATAACACTGTAAAAGATAAAAAAAGGCCAAGGAGAAGGAGGAATGTGAACTATGAGAATACAAGAACATAGGGATGTAGGATGTTCAAGACATATGCTTTCTTGGTTTTATTCTTCTGTGTAATGCATATTTGTGGTTTATAAAAAGGCATTTTAATATGCATACATCACTTAGGAGAATAATTGTGTGTAAGAAATATGTCACTAAAGCAAAATAAAATTAAACTGGTATTAGACTTCCAGAGGTTCTGGCACATTAGAGAACATAATTCTTTTAGAGAGAAAAATCTGGATGACCTGAAGAGTAAATATTTTTCACAGATCATGAAATCCTTTTTAAAATGATAATCTTTTCCAAAAAAATCTTTTGAGTTCTCCTTTATTTGCACCAGGTTTTCTGAAACAGTGTTACATTTCCTAGCTTTACTGAAAAAGCCTGAAATGCAATCTTACCCCCCTCCCAGCCTTTTTTTTTTTTCTTTCTCTGTAAATAGGAGTGGTGATTCCAGGGTTTACATCTTAATCTAACCTTCAGGCTGTAAAGAAAACATAAAGTTTATGAGACTATCAGTAGCATTCTTGTAATGCTGAGTACAACAATGTGTAAGTGAGTGAATGAGAAAATACAACTAAGTCAAGTGGGAGTCTGAGTTAATCAGGAGTAAGTAATCAAACAAAACAAGACAAGTAAAGCTAATGGCAGCTGCGGACGAGTTATCAAAAGAAGTAGTTTTGTTGAAAAAAAATGGCAAGGATGGGACAAATTTTTGATGAGCTACAGAATTCCTGGGGCTCATCTGGTAATCATGTCAGAAGGTATTTAGAGTACACAGCCAGAACGGAGCAGTTGAGCCTTCTGCATATTTTAGAATTTAGAATAAATAAGGTATTCAGAGACTCACAGGCTAGCATTAAAAATGTAATACAAATTGTGTAGAAAACATTTCCTGAAGGAGAAATCAGGGGTCGTTAAAAGGTTACTTTTAACTAATGCTGCTTGATTGGTTGTTAGTGTTCTGCTTCCTCTGAAGTGACAACGTGTTAGAGTGACCGTTGCCCTCTTCCAGCAATTATTGGTGCTCTGGCAATTGCTCTCAGTTTTAATCAATTAGAGTCCTGAATGGTGCTTTTCTTGGTTTCAAACAAAAGAGCCAACTGTTGGACTAGAGATGTCCACTTCTTTTTGGCAGCTTCCTGTTTTCTTTTGGAAACTTTTTGAAGACCCTGTCGGGTTCAGGAATGATCATTGATAAATCCTTCCTCTATTAGTCCACTCACTATATGATCTGTGTTCCAGCAGAAATCCATATAGTCAATAGAATCAATAGAAACCAGAAAGACAGCAGTTGGCATCCTGGAACACAGTAAAGGTCTGTCCAGTATTTGTTTCCATATGTCCACCAAGGTGTTGGACTGGCTGTTTTAGAGGAAGGTTTAAGAATGTCATAACTGGAAGATAAAGGATAATATTTTCCCCTCACTCCCGTCTTCTACTACAGGTTCTACATCTGTAATATTTAGATTTTGGCTTAAACTTTGAGCAGTTTAGCAATAAATAGCTAAACTGCTATTTATAGCAATAGTTATTGCTATAAATAATTAGCAATATTTATTGCTAATTATATAGCAATATTTACAGTTCTGTATAGCAATATTTACAGTTCTGTATAGTTTTGTTGGGTATGTGAATATAAATTTCATCATAACCCTACTTACTGATCTTCACTAGGAGTTCCCAGGTTCAGGTGCATATGTCATTAACGATACATGTTATCTCAAAGAAAGACCAATTGTTGGCTCAACAATTGAACACCCCCATAGAAAACATCTATGAGTAGCCTTGGATAGATATGGTGGTGCTGCACTATCACCTATGATGATTAGTGAGCCAGGAGACTCCTTATCATGTGCGTTGGTTTCAGGATACAGTGAACTAGGAGACTCCTTATCATGGGACACTGGTTTCAGGATACAGTTTTCACCAGCAGGAGCAGCTTGATGTGTTACTATTTTCCTACCACATGACTCTGACCCATATTTTAGCACATCTTCTCAGCTATGATAATACAGCAGCTTGTACAGTGATGCTGCAAAGTGGCTCTGAGAACTGCAACAGTTTGTAGAGGACAAGGCTTGGAAAATCTGGGTTACTTCCCTGTTCCAGTTCACAGCACAGCAGTGCAAACTATTGCACTAGTGCAAACAGGGTTTTGGTCACTGCTTGAAACTCCTTGAAGTCTTGCATTACTAGTGGTTTCTGAAAGATTTACAACAAAGCTTATTGGAAGGCCATGTGTTATAAAAACAAGCCCTGCCAGAAGTCCTATTTTTCTTTCTTTTCAATAAGCCTAAATACTGCTTTCTGTGTAAATATCTAGGTGAAAATACCCATATATATTTATACGTGTAAAAAACACTGGTTTTATATAACAGTAAATGCATAACATATAATCATAGATTCAACACATAAGAAGAAGGGCTCAAAAAATGACAACTCAAGCTAGAAACATTAAAAAAGTGGGTTATATTGAACATACTCTGCCAAAGTTTTTATTTGATTACCGATTTGCAGGGGGTGTTTTGTTATTTAGAAAAAGATTTGTATGAGGATTGAGGAAATTTTCAAAAATCTTTGTAAGACTAATTATAATTCAATAACAAGAAATTGTAATTAGTTCAAATTCTCTCCCCTTTCTTTCTTTAATAGACAAAAACATGTTGGAGAAGGAACAGAGTTAGATGAAGTGACCTGAGCATAATCT